CCGTATTAGACACTCAGTCAGTTCAACCAAAGCCATGGGTTCAAGCCCTGGAGTTGGGTGTCTGTGTGTGGTCCTCAAAAAGGGCTCATAATGGCTGTCACAGACACTGAACCAGTGCCACCCAGATCCTGGTTTGAGCCCTGGGTCTCGCTGATTCCCTCCTGGGACGTTTCCGTATATCCCTTTCCGGCCGGGGTGTCCTATGTTTCTGGATTCTGGCTCCACACACCCGCAATCGACGTGCCAAATAAGTGGCTTTATAAATGGGCTCAGGTGACACGGTAGCTACAGGAGATGGGGGGGGGAGAGGTGGATTGTGTCAATCCCTCGTTCTCAGCAGGAGCCAGTCACATTTACGGGTGATCGAACAACATACATACACATGCAAACTCACGCTCACATATTCTTAGGTTTTTTCGGTAAAGTCACGTAGGTAAAAAATTTAAATTAATAAAAGTAAAAGAAAATGCAGAGAAGCGCAACCTCACACAGACCCCTAAGGTTAAAATGCAGTCATGGGTAATAAGTTGATTGGATTCAAATTGGATGTCATTCCATGAGTAGAATAGTCTGTGCAGTTTAACAGATGGTTTTAATGAAGTGCAGCAGCATTTATTGTCTTACAGAATGTGTGGAGAGAGAGCAGGAGGAAGAGTAAGAGAGACACCCGGCCTGATGACTTGAGCCAAATATTTGTGACACGACCAGTATCAACCCAATGAGAGAAGACGAGAGATACCCAACCATTGAGCTCAAGTCCACGGTCTTTGGAGCAGAGGTCGCAACCGGGTACCCAATATCCGTACCCTACCCGATACCCGGCTACCCATACCCAACCGGGTACGGGTAGCCGTTTGCGACCCTGGTGCGGCCGGATACGGGTACGGGTAAGGAATCAAAACCCGTTTGCGACCTCTGCTTTGGAGGTGTTGCCTAAATGCCTGACATGGCCATTATGAACCCTTTAAGAGACACCGAGTCACAAGGGTCGAACCCAAGACCTCATAGGTTCTCGTTCAACGTTTGACAAAGCCAGGATGAACCATCTGAGAAAGAGAGAGGTGTCCAGCCCGAGGGCTTGAACCCAGTATTTCTGTGGAGCTTGCTCAGTGTCTCCAAGATGGTAATTATCCACAGCCAAATGCCCAAGAAACACTCGTTACAATAACCACCAGGAGGAAAATACAGAAAGTTTTACGTGAAACTGCTCTAATGTGAATCAATGAAGATACAATTCAATTTACTTTTATTGGTGGCAATGCATCATTTATGAAGTTATGCAAAGATCAGTTCAATCTTACTACATGACATGTAACATTTGTAGAAATAAATATCTGTTTGTTTTATTATAGTTTAGCCTCAGTCTACCTTTGGCGATTTTATAAATGTGTAGTGACATTGGGGATGTCACTGTATGGTGCCGGCCCTAGAGGGCCATGGCGTGCGATGTACTCACATCGCGGACAGCATCGTGTGTGTTCGAGCACGGCTTGCGATGCACTGTCATCGCATACACCCCGTAGGTGGGTGTAGTACCAGCCCTAGCGGGGCTTGGTGAGCGCTGGGATAGCGTGGGCACCACGCATGGCGTGTGGTGCGGCTCCCACTAGAGGGAGCGGGAGAGTGTCAGCCCAGGGACAGGGTTGCCCCGGGCCATGGCACTCTGGTTGACCCCGTAGACACGTGATCCGGAGTGTCCAAAGGGAGGCCCCCAGGTGGGGGGGCTAGGGGGTGATCACGTGTCCGGGGAGAGGGAGCTGGAACGCTCTCGAAGGTGGACGGGGCTAAGGGCGGAGCCGACCCCGACCCGGGAGGATATAAGGTGGGTCCCTGAGAGGGACCGGGGTTGCTACGTTCTACAAGCTGGCAGCTCCACGTTCTACATCTGAAGAGGCACCAGCACGTGGCCCGGGACCCGAGTCCGGGTGCGGTCCGTCGTAGCCCTAACTCCTGTATGGTGGTGTAGTTAGCTGGGTGGTCACCACCCTAGGCTGTATCTGGTAAAGGGGCAGCTACTCCTTTGTATATACGTGTTGTGTAATAAATGTGTTGTCTCTGGAGAAGAACGTCTGCGACTCAGTTGGACTCACTAGAAATGTTTAAGTACGGTATTGAAATATCAATGTGTGTGAGGGGGAAGAAATAGTGCAGTGGGTAGCACATTGCGCTGTGAACCCAGTTACCCGAGTTCAATTCCCGCTCATGACCAACAGTGACGAATATCTGAACTTGTACTGGGCCTCCCCAATGGTAACTCAGCCTTAAAGGAGTACTTGGTGTGGTGTGTAAACATCAGCACTGAGGAGACAAAGAGTGCGGTGTTGGTGACCCACTCCCTAGTGTGCCATGCCAGCCTTCATAGGTGCTCACAATGATGAAAATAGAATAGGCATTACCGTCCCTGGCAATAGCACAGGTGTTAAAATGTTGACATCAAATAGACACCTATTATTCTTTCATATGGACACTTACAAAACACTCACTGATTAACAATGTTTTTTTACAGGAGATTCTTGCTTTGCCAAACTACAAATTGGTCAGCTGATTATCCTCATCGCACACACACATCCATATATACAGTTGCAAATGAGAGTTTTAGTCTGGTTGAAGGGGCTAGCAAACCCTCCACCTTACAATTAATTACCAGAGGATCGGAGAATGTGATGGAGGTCTCGAGGGGGCAGGCATGAACGACGTTCACTGGGAAAACCCTGTTTGGTGGAGCCAGGTGACTGGAACCCCCCTCGGGGAGCCTCCAGAAACACCGTTCTTTCATAGGCGCATTGACACAACACCTTGGGTACATGTCAGGTCAAATCAACATCTGCAGGGTGGAACAGCGAATGTGAGCCTATGTCGTTGACACCAGCACCTGTTGTGGAGCTAATCTAGCCATTGCCCATCGGATTGTCTGTAAGATGCGCCTGCCATTCTAAGATTCCATTCAATTTACAATAGGCCAGTATTAGCTGTTGAAAATTGTGAAAATGTGATCATCACCTGCAACTGGGATTGGTATCTGGTCTTCCACCTGATGCTGAGGGGAAATGAGTGAGGTTCACGAATCTGGTTCGTGCAGCTGCTATGGCAGCACTGGGTACCTAGTCCAGACCCCTGCCCCCCAGAAACCATGGCTGATAAAGTATTTCAGCTTGGCGACAGAACGCAACGGGCTCATTTTCACAATCTACCATATCCCACGTCCAAGAATGAGGCGGCTTATTGCATCGTCCTTTTGGAGATTTGAAAAGCCATTTAGCGCTGCCATGATAAGCGGTGGTTGCGGGGGGTTGCTGAAATGGGAACAGTGTCAGTCGCCCAGGATCACAAACCACTCAATTTGATCAAAACAGTTATTTGCAGCAACTATCCTCATTACCATACTTAAAATGAATAAACGTGATGAGGGGAAAGGGGAAATCCCTCGGCCCCAACATCATGGTGCAAGGGTGGGAAGCTGGCCCCTTCTATGGTTTCACAGGTTATATGAAGTAGAGAGCCCCTGTAAGTGGCTTAATGATGTGTCATCTGCTGTAGAGGTGTGTAAACTGCCAGGCAGGGATGACCTTCCATGCGCATCGCTAAGGGAGGATGACAATTGTGTGTAGGCTGCCTTACACAACATCATAACTTCTTGCACAACGTGAACATTTCTGCACAACGCGAACATTTCTGGAAGAATGTCCTGGTGGTCTCCCCCTTTTTAGAAGGGGAACAGCACTGACTGTTAAAACCACTGAGGGATCTCCCTTGTTAACATCCCAGAAAAGATATATGTAAGGATTATTAAAGATTGTCTTCCCAGGCACACTGAGAAGCTTACAGAACTCCAGTGTGGTTTTAGGCAGCGGCAGTTCTGCAGAGACACACTATTCTCTGTCAATTTGCTACTGCAAAGGTGTAGGCAATTTTAACATGACCTACACCTCTGTTGTATTGATCTAGTTAAGGCTTCTGATACCAACAAGAGGCTAGAGTTTGGTGCCCTATGATTGTGCACAAGTCCTGTAAAACTACTTGGCTGGGAGTCAAAGGCATTCCTGGTAACCTTGGGGTGCAACAGGGATGTACTCTAGCTCCTGGGCTATTTAACATATATATTTTTTTACCACAGATAAAGATTCCCATCATGGCATGTGTGTGTATCTAAGCAATGCATTTGCATTTGTCTATTATGCATGAAACAATAAATCAGTTCTTCTGGTCACCAAATATGCATAGCATCATGTGTGTAAGAATTAATTATTTACGAATCGTGCAACTTAAGCTCCATTGAAATAAAAAATTCTTACATTTAGGCTAATAGAGTGAATGATGCAACAATTGAGACAGAAGATATTGACAAAACTGATTCTTGTATGGAATGATGACCCCAAAATCATGACAATTTGCCAAACTGCGGGAGTGGGGCATCATTGCAAGCCTAGTATCGATAGGTGTATGTGTGTTTTCACCTCTGTAAATGTGAGGTGTGTATGTATGTATGTATGTATAAGAGGTTCAGTAAAAAAGTGAGTGTAATTTATTTGTTGCAATTGAAGGAATGATAGAAATTGCGCTTAAGATTATTATTATTGTCATCTCTATCTCCTCCAACACCTTGTGTGCATGTAGTCACGTGGTATAACAGGACAATCACGTGAGCAGGCCCTGTCAGTGTGAGTTTGGCACCTTCTCATTTATACTTGAGAAAGAACAATGACACAACGTGAAATTGTTGTGCTAAAGTGAAAAAGCTCTCCTCCGTAACGCTCCCCATCTTACAAGGCGCCCACACAGAGAATGTAATGAGTTTTGATAGGAACTCATTTTTAAGAAGGACATGAAAGCAAACGTGAAGAGGCAGCTTAAAGAAATCTCAGCTTAAGACTTCCACGACTGATGCCATGAGCTACGTGATTTTTGGCAACAATGCATGCATGAGGAATGAGACTACTTTGAAGGCGCCCCATGACGCGTTTAACGTGTCTTTGTAGGTCGACAAGTGGCATGTGTGTCACCTCTGTAGACGGTGAGTGTGGCAGAGGCTGTTGCCACTCCGACCCCGTTGGAGGCTGTACACTCGTACTCCCCCTCGTCGCGAGGGGTTCTCAGTGGCTGAATCCGGAGCACGGAGCCTGAACCATCCTCAAACTCCGTCACCTGCGTAATCACAATGACCACTCATTTACAGCTAAACGACTCACAAGCACAAAGCCTGCGTCATTGTTAAACTCCGGTCACCTGCACAACCACAATGAAAAGCACTAAACTACAACGAAAACATAACATGATGGAAACTGAGTCTTCCACAAACTCCATCAGCTGAGCAACCACATCCACAACAACAATCAAGCTACAAACACCAAATTGTACCAAACACTAAACTCACAGCTTGGGGTCTGCTTCATCCTCAAATTTACTTCACCTGGAAAGCCACAACAACTGTGACAAACGCCAACCAAACCACAACAGCAACAATGAAACAAGTAAATACATGGATAGAGACATACATTGAAACTACACGACTAAATTACAACTACTAAACGACAGCAAAGCACACCAGACACAGGCAGTCAAACTCTGTCACCTGGCAACCACAACCACACAAACCACACAAAACAACTACTACAACAGGTAAATTTCAATACAGGAACTATCGAGACATAATCAGATTACAACTAAATAACAATCAAACAGTTAAACAAGTAAACAAATTGACGCTACAACTTAAATGAAATGACCAAAACAAACAATTCTACAAGCTAGGAAGCCAGGACATATAGGGTATCTCAATTTTGATTGAGAATTCTTAGTAAAACACAAAAGCATCTACAAACTAATACACGTGCACAAATATAAATACTGTACAAACTCATTCAGTGTTGTTGGGTTGGAAGTGGTGGCATAGTGGTTGGCGTTCTTCACTATGAACCCGGCGATCTGAGTTCGATTCAGGGCCATCGTTAAACCATCACTAAACTAAAACTATGTTCTATTTTACCAGGTAAGTGTTGCACACTCGAAATGAAGGACGTGGGCAGGTGCTCCAAATCGAGGGCAAGCACATTTATTTATTGTGGTTAATATTAATCTTGTGAAGAACAGCACCGTCACTCTGTAAAATGCAACAGCGCGTGTTACACGCAGCAATTCTTCCGAGTCGCCATTAACCATGTGGCTGGTTTACACGTGCGGTTATTCATTAACCCTGCCAGCCACCTACAGGCCCGACTCAGTCATCACGTGCTGCTACACGTGCTGCTGTACACACATGCTGCTGTACACACATGCTGCTGTACACACATGCTGCTGTACACACATGCTGCTGTACACACATGCATTGATGCACTGCACAGCACATCAGGACCTTCACAGAACCACACTTTACTCCCTTGCTGCACAAGGACATAATTAAAAGAGCGATCCATTCCTAATGTGCCACATAAGGTCCACTGAGCGAGATAACTCTTTTTCAGACACGACCTGACCACAAATGATTACTCAACGAAGTGGCGAATCATGTAGAAATGTATATTCTGGACTACGACGTTTCGATCGAAACGTCGTAGTTTTTTGCTATTTTCTTTAAACCTATCTACATGACTTTACCGAAAGACCCAAGAATATGAATTCCTGCAGTCATGAAAGCTTTAAGTCAATGTAGAAATGTATATCAGCCAAATACACTAAACGCATGTTTCTACATGTGGAGGGAAAAACCGGAGGACCCGGAGAAAATTCCACACAACCATGAGTCAGGTTCGGAATTGAACCCACGACCTCCTGCATACCGGGTGAGGGAGAATGTCGCCACCATGGTGCCTAATAGCAGCGAGTGATATTGGAACCAGTGGTGCCCCCCCCCCCCCCCGTTCACCAACCCGCACTTACCAGTTTTATGAAATACCTGTATGGTCAAACATCTCCCCAAACGAAAACGTGTGGGGAGACTTTCCTCAAGCAGTGGAATGTTAACAGGGTTTGACACAACAACCCGCGTGTTAAAAAGGAGCGAAGCCACCCTCTCTGGTGAGTCGGACGTACTGCATTCTGTGTCGGTGGATGAGGTCTTTACTGGGTGTGCATGTACTAACACTCCTACAGTATTGTACATGGGCTGAGGCGAATAAACCGTGTTTTATAATAAGCTCACCGAACCGATACACACTAATTGGCCTGGCATGCAGCATAACGTTAACATAGAAAAAAATGTCTTACATTCATGAATTGCCAATCATGCCCCAAAACTATAAAGGTTAGAATATTCTTTATTGGTAAACTCTCTGGTAGGGTTTGTAGCAATTAATTGGAGGGTTTTGTAGTTTTATTGAAAAAATGTGAAGCGTCCTTGGACAGATGAACACAATATTTCCCAGGCATATCCACACATATCCTATCAGGGTCCTTAAAACCACCAAGGCATAACAAAACAACTGCAACAAAACAGAACAAGGACCAGGCCGGCAGTCTTCGAATACATCACCTTGGCAATCTCAAAGAAACAACAACCAAATGGCAGGTATCGAACTTAATAACTGAACAGCAATCACTCAAACTACTAAGCATCCAAACAACACGAAACCATCTGAACTATGTAAACAAATAAAATGATGCAACGTCTGGTTATTGGAATACCCTTAAATAGGGCTCCTCCTTCGAGGCACCACCTTGGTGCCCTCGGCTGCCCAAGGACTCATTGGTCGTGTCCCCACTCTCACCTGTCATCCCCTGAACTCGTTCCCCTTGTGTCCTGCTCTTCTATCGAGTCTTAAGATGCTTTTTTGGATTAGATGCATATTAATTGTATTTCTTGTTGCTGTTGTGTTTTTTCCTCCTCAGCTGATCCGTGCCTATTGTAATGCCAATCGCCGACAGCGTACGCTCAATCCCGACAGGCGTGTGCCTAATTCTATCAGCAAGTCGTGTTCAGGGACACGCGCGTCTCTCCTTCCACTCCGCTGGAAAACCTTATCAGCTGTGACACCTAACATCTTTCTGGATACTGCTGACTGAGTATGCATGACTGAAGGGCCCTCATTCTGAGCCTCACCCGAGCCACCATTTCAGTTGTCGTGAATCGCGTGCCTGGGTAGGAACGAGAAGAATCTGGTTAATGCAGCCTGTTACGAGTCCGTCTGCTTGCCTTCTATTGAATTAACGTCCCCTTTTCTACTGGCAGAAAACGACACCTCGGTATTTCAGCCTCTGCAATGACAAAATGTAGTAATGGGCAGATTGAGCATAAACCGGTGTTCATGGAGCTCCCTTCTGAACTCGTTCTTTGTGTGGACTGACAGTGCTGGAAGAACCTTCGCAAGACTATAATGCACACATGGAAAATTAACTGCAGATGTTGACCTTCGAAATGGAAACAGAAAATAATTGTAACAGTTTATTGAAAAAAGACTTAGGCAGTACTTCAAATACAGGTCATTTACTACTATATTTACCCAAGAATATCAGTGTGTAACGCGCGTGACATCACTCCACGTAGACCAACCCCCCTCAATAGTAATCATGAACAGGTTACATCTTCCATATGGACCCACCCCTCATTAATAATCATGAGCGAGTGACATCACTCCGCATGGAGAACCCGCCCTAATTAATAATCATTAACAGGTGACGTCACTCCACATCGAACAGCCCCCCTCAATAATAATCATGAACAGGTGACGTCCTCCAAATGGACACCCCCCCCTCCATTAATAATAATTAGCGGGTGACGGTACTCCACATGGGGGGGGGCGAGGTGCCTCCTCCCCCCTCCTCAGCGCCAACTTATAACCCTCACGTGATCTCCGTAACACTATTGAGACATAGAAGTAAAAAGGACGTCATGATGAACAAGGGATTATTACCGTTAAATGAAATAAGTCCGTGTCACCGGGGCCTTACAATTTGCACACGAATGGATGCGACGGGGTATTAATCGGCACTCCCCATGCTGTTAGCGGGTAGCTCCTCCTTCTCGTCAACAAAGGGCGGAAGCGGGGTCACTCCAGTGTCAAGGATCATGGTCCAAGGGGCCAACGCCAATCCCTGGGAAAACGGATCCTGGGACACAAATCCCCAAACCCCGAGAGGGGGGATTGGGGGATGATGTCACCTTCCAGAAGGTTCTGGAAGGGAGGCGTGGCTAGGGCGGAGCAAGCCACGGACCTGTATATAAGCCGAACCTCTGAAGGGTCCGGCTCAGTCATCTCCAAGCTGAAGACCGAAGACGGAGCTGAAGATAGGACCCTGGGCCCCAAGCTCCGCTCTCCTTCTAAGGGCCGGAGCTCAGTGAGGCCAGCGGTCAAGACCCGGAGACGACCTTGGGACGGTCGGGTCAGAGTGGCCTCCCCTAGGCCCCAAGCTGGAGGGCTCAGAGCTCGCGTGGTCCCAGTGTTAGGAGGCAGTGTAGCCCGGAGGCCACGCCTCCTTAGGTATTGGGTGAAAGGGGCCGTTACCCCTTTGTGTTAGGGACCTTGTACTCAGTGTAGTTAAATACATATTGTTGCCTCACCTACGTTCTCCTCTGGTTCCTGACTCACTACAGATGCAATGAATATCATGTTGCGGTCTGCTTTTCGCTTGCAAGTTTCAGATTTACTGCAATACACCCGTCCTTGGACGGGAAAAAGGCTAAAAACATCAATAATGACCATAAAAATAATGAACAAACATAAATATTAATTGTACAATCTTGACTTAAAGCTTCCGTGTCTGCAGGGATTCATATTCTTGGGTCTTTCGGTAAAGTCACGTAGATAGGTTCAAAGAAAATAACAAAACATTTCTAAAAACTACGACGTTTCGATCGCAACACAAGCAGTCGTCTTCAGGAAAAGGTGGGTTAGCTTCCAAGGAAAACTGTTTATAAGCAGCCAATGATAATGTAAGTGATGGTTAGTTTTCCACCAACCAAAGGGCTGCCAGGTGAAAATTAACATGTTAAAGAGAGATTAGCATGTTAATGGAAGATCGCAGCGCCGCAACCAAGGGGTCAGCGCGCGGAATGACTGTGAAGAAAGCGCAAGTTTGAAATGGGCGTAAAGCACGACTAACATCGGCAGGTGGTAGGATGGGAACATCATAGCCAATTATGACTTAAACTGGTTGATAACGTCCTTCCAATGATTGCTCAGTGTGTACCCATCTTCTCGGTTGAAATTGTGTCTGTGTCTATATATATGGATGGCTTCATGAACGAATCTTTGTTGATAGCCAGTGGGCTTGCAAAGTACCTTCATCTTAGAGAGATCAATTTTGTGTGAGCCCACCGCATTAAAACAATGATCAATCACGGCCGAGGTATTGGTCCTACCGTGTTTCAGATCTGCCTGATGTTCACGAACACGGTCCGAGACATGTCTCTACGTTTCCCCAATGTAACTACTGCCACAAACACAACTTAGTTTGTAGACGCCGGGGTATTGCATGGCAGGGATCACATCCTTCACAGATGGGATCAAATCACAAATTTTATGTACAGTGTTAAATCCAACCTGGATCTTGTGTTTGCTCATTATTTTGGAAATATTTTTAGTGACCCCTGCTATGTATGGCAAGGTGATGGTTTGATTGGGTCCTCAGATGGTTCTTTCCCAACGGTTGGGGTGATAGCTTTGCGGTTTGTGTAGTCTGAATATCCATTCATCTTGAGGGCTTGGTGCACGTGTTCCAGTTCACTGCCTAAGTGATGACGGTCAGAAATACATTGAGCTCTATAGTGTAGAGTTTTGATGAGGGAATTCTTCTGGGATGGATGGTGGTGGGTGTCAGGTTTTAGGTAGGCATCCGTATGGGTGGCTTTCCTGTAGACAGCGTCCCATTGAGCCATCTGGTCTCCTTTCTATTTAAACATCCAAGAATGGTAACTTGCCATCCTTTTCCACTTCCATGGTGAATTTGATGGCTGGGTGTATGGAATTGTGGTGGCTAAAGAATTAGTTCAGAGCTGGTCAGCCATGTGGCCAGATGACAAACGTGTCATCTATGTACCTCTTCCACAAGGACGGACGTAGAGTGGATTCCTGGATGGCACCTGTCTCAAAATTTTCCGTGAAAACATTGCCTACAACTGGAGATAAGGGAGAACCCATTGGGGTACCTTCAACTTGTTTGTAGAATGTTCCATTCCAGGTGAAGTAAGTGTTGGTGAGACAGTGTCTCACCAGGGCCGGTACATCAGGATTCAATCCTTGTTGGACCAAATCTTCAATGATTGCAATGGTGTCAAGCACAGGAACTTTGGTAAGTGGATTCATAAGATATTTTTATTAACTTCATCGTGCAGTGGTTCAAGAGCCTTGATGTTAGCTAAAAGCTCCATCTGACGCACTCTTGAATTCTTAAAACTCTTTGCTTGATGTCCAAAGAGACTAAGAATCCCATATTTTATAATTAATGTCAACTGTCCTGCTATAATTTTAAATGTTGCCACTTTTAAAATGCATGGCATTTCCCCCTTGCTGAGCCCAACGACGTCCCAATTATTTTCTCTCAAGTCTGTCTCCATTTGGACAAAGTTTTCATACCCATTCATCTTTACACCATGCCATTTGTTGTTTGCAGATGCAATCAGGGGATTCAATAAAAAAATGCCACTGAAAACAATTTCCAGGTTCCTGACTTTCAGAACTGGTAATTGATTCTGAAAATGGTCACTGGTTTTCCGTTTGTTTTTTAACAAACATAATATGTGTATATAAGTTTATTTATATACATATTTACACCTATATGTTTATGTATGTGCATACAGCTGCTCACCTCAAACCTCTGTGAGCTCACCCTCTTGCCCTTCTTCATCCAGGTGATGCGAGGCCGTGGATCACCTGCCGTCTTGCACACAAACGCCGCCACCCCGCTAGACACTCCACTTTGATCCACCGGGGTCCGTGTGAAGTGAGGCGGGCCTGAGAGCGCGGAGACACACAAACCCAGAACATGTGACTACCTGAAACTTAGCACCAGCAGACAGACTGGATTTCAGGAAAGTAATTGACTCGGCTCCAGGAGACCTCGCTTTGGTATCAGGATATTGATGTGACTCCATTCTTGATATTGATTGGAGACTTTATGCAGACCATTTCATTGGGTTATCCCCAAATGAGTTCATCTAATATCGGTTGACAATTGCAGTATTATTATTCTTGTTTATCCACGAAAGCCTCTGTGAGTCTCAATACTTTTTTCAAGAGGGTCCTGCAAAGTTTCACATAAGTTGGCGATTTTGCAATGTGTAATCCTAATAAATGAACTTGCAGGTAATGTTTTTGCATTGGAATTTTTGGCCAATACCAGTTAAATTGCATTGGTCTTTTTTAACTAAAAGAACCTTCTGTTTGACATCACAATGACGTTTTTTTAAGTCTGAGTCAACCTAGTGTAGGAATGCATTAATTTACTATTTAGATCTTCATAGGACGTTCATTTCAGGGTTGAGCTATTCACAGTGAACCCGGCAACCTGCGTTCGACTAATAGCTACAGCTTACTTCAGTGGTCAGTGATATGAGGCTCAGTTATGCCCTCCTCCCTTTCACCAATCCTCATTGACCAGCATGGTGACATATTACCGAAAGAACCAGAGAGTAATGGTGACATATGGTCAAAAACCTCCATAGCTGACATGGTGTGGCAAGGCCTTTATCCATTGGTGGACTGAAAATGAGAGGACCTTATTTATTTGTTTATAGGATAACCATTTCAGTCTCAGTCAACCTAGTGTAGTACTTTAATTTGAATCTGAGTCCAAGTGTAGTAATTTGTTAAGTGGTCACTTTAAGTCCGAATTGTCTTAGTGTAGGGCAGTATCAAGTCTCCATTCTAATATAAACAATGTCCTGCTGGGTGTCCTTTTAAGTCTGAGTCAACTTAGTATGGGGGGGTCTTTAATAAATGTCAATTTCAGTCTGAGGTGACCTACTGAAGGCTTGATGATTCATTACCTGGAATACAAACGTTGCTGTCGCCCCAGGCCACTGTCGAGAAACTCATACATTATTCAACACAAATAATTCATTAAACAATAAACACCAACACATTCGACAGAACTCAAAAAATGTGCACTGCCCAGCAACACTTTTATTTAACTATGGTTAAGACTGGATTTCCGGGTAAGAGTCTTCATTGAGATTTGGCTTCAGATGGCTGGGTTTTCAGGATATGAATCATGATTGAGACTCGGCTCCAGGAAAGTAACAGTGAAAATATCTGATTCTTGAGACTCCATGAATCCCATTGAGCCATAATAAGACTCAACCTGTGGAAAATTCTATAAAGTATGAGAGAAACGCCCCTAGAAGACGCGTGTGACCGCGCTGCTTGATTCAGTGTTGGCGTCAGATTCAGCTGTAAATGAGACTTGCGTCCCAGGGGTGGTGCTGGTGTGGTCGAGAAACAGTAATAAAAAAATATAACAGCTTTGCTTCGCACCGTTTATTACAAATATGAAGGGGAAAAAATCCCAGGAAGCCAACAGCAATAACATGAAACAGCTGCAGAGGCAAAGCAAACATTGCCTCGGGGGGAAAGGTGGCCACAGAAGGCTCGCGGGGCTCATAATTGTTGTGTCCGAGCAGTGAGCCTGCACCACTGCGTCCTGGGTTCAAGCCTTGGCTCTGGGTGTTTCTCACTCTAAGTGGATTCATAATGGCTGCGTAAGAACCAATGAACCAGTACAATTCAGGTCCTTGGTTCAAGCCCCCAAGGCTGGGCTTCTCTCAATTTAAGAATGCTCATCTAGGTGATATCAAAGACATTAAACTAATACTGCTGAGATTCTAATTAAACCAAGCAGTGTGCTTAGCGATTTTTACGTCTCAATTCATTTACGAATCGTTACACAATGAAGTGATAAGATGATTGTGGCTTGTTATATAATTTAGCCAAACGCATCTCTGAGGGCTGAAAATTCTAAATGTCAGATTGCTGATATGCAGCATTAACTAGCATCATTGTCTTTTGGCGGAGGGAAGCCTTTTATTGAAGTGGCTCCTCACTCCATCTTGCTCCATCTCGCCCACGTCAGCCTCACACGTGCCCACTATCCACGGCTATATTCCTTCACCTCCCTCCCTACACTTTCTTCGTGTCGCCAGCAAGGTCAGCTACAAAGACAACCTGCCTTTCCCACCGCGCCTCTAATTTCAGTCATCTACCTTATCTTTCTTCACTCCTGTCACCCTGCACTATAGCTCACGCACGGTGGAACTCTCCACAGCGTCACGATTCACAACCTCCTCCTCTCTACACCGAGGATCATGAACATCAATGCCAGGCGTCGTTTCTCCAGCGGAAGCCCCCGCCGTCTGGAACACCATTCAGCTGCACATTCGCAACATTCAATCTACACCGACTTTTAAGAGAAACTGAAAGGCCCCACCTCTATTGTCTGGGCTTCATATTACACTAAGCTAGGCTCCGTGCCTCAGTCATGGTCATTTATGTCCATGAAATATGGCCTGCATAAGCCAGATGAGTGATGTGTGTTGGCCATGATGTGCCTCTGCCTAGCAGTCCCATCTCGAATGATGCATCTAATTTTACTACAAATTACATGTTCAATTAAGAATTCTGTGCGATTCAAGTCTGTACAAGTAAATATACTGTAAGTTAAATGTTGAAATAAAAGAGTCTCTGTGCTCAAATAACCGTGGGGAAGCATTCATCTCTATTTGTGAACATGAGCTAGCAGTGGAACTCCTTGTTCAAATGGCAAGGTTCAGCCTCTACACCGGATGTCCAATGTTGGCTTCCCACAAAAAAAGTGATGATAATAATTGTATCGACCACTAAAGGATGATGATGATTTTGATGATGATGCTGCTGCTGTTCAGATTGATTATTCAAGTATAGCTTTATTTTGATAAAATATAATGTTTTCTTGTATTGTCTGTCATATAGCTTATCTTGTTCAACCTGTTAGTGTAACATAACAGGATAAAACATTTATTTTTGCTACTATGGATCTAAACCATATAACCTACTCTCTAAAGCTAATCGGGAGTCAGTCCATTTATGTTTTTTTTAATTGTCTACAGACCTATCTCATATTGTTTTAACTCGCATTGGCTGGGATTCCTTATTCATCTATTGTTGTTTGAAGAACAAAATTTCCCTTTTAAAGGTTTTACGTATTTAACCACCGTATACGATTTTTTTAGATCGCAAACCACATCAGCACTATAATATCCTTTATGATCAATGATTGTATAATTTGCACATAATACAAATGAATTGTAAACATTCGAATGTATGCATGATTCAACGGCTGTATAATAGCATGCGAATGTAAAAAAAATATATTTTATAATGAATTTCTTATTTATCTAGGACAGCAACACTGCGTCGTACGACTCTAATTCAGGAGGGTCCTGCGATAAGTTTTTATGTTAAGATATTTTCATCAAATTAATGATTGTTTATACAAGTTGGAGGAAACTGAAACATCCGGATGAAACCCATGTGCGTGAGGGGGCAACTCTATCTCCAAACAGATGGAAACAGATGATGATTAGTGCATATGCTGTACTGTCTTCTCCTAGCGAGCCAAGAGATTATTCTTTATTTTCTTCGGTAAAGTCACGTATAAAGATAAAATAATAAATTTAATTAAATAATAGCATACGACGTTTCGATTGCAACACAAGCAATCATCATCAGGTATAATGAAATAGCGACATAGAATCTAACCAGAAAACTATAGACAGACATATAAGCAGACAGATATCACCAAGATACATAGAGAAAGCAACCCAGGTACAGAGAGGGGTGATCGTCTCTGTGGGGTGGCCTTAAATAGACAGAGGGGGGCGGAGGCAGAGAGAGGGAGGGGGTAGGGAAAAAATTTACATGTCAATGAGTACGAAGGGAGGCGTAGTAAAGTAAGCAGGCATAGAGGGAGACAGAACACACTAAATTAAATAAAATTAAGATTGAGCCCAGGGATCACAACTCAGAACCCACAGGAAAGGAGTTTCACAACATGTGTGTGATCCACCACCCCTCACCTCCACACAGCTGCCATCACCCGGCGATATATTTAATTGAATGACTAAATAATCAATACATGTCGAGTGACAATGTTGATGTTTATATTGCAGCCACTGATTGAAATAAATTCCTTTGCTGATGATAATAAAAGTTGCTGGTGATGGTGCTGCAGCAGAAATTTGAACGCGTGCACTTCACATTTTGAGTTGAACACTCTTATCACCAAATTAGTAGATTCTCCACTGAAATGTAAATATTGAGGCAACTTTGTTCTCCAAACAGCACTCAAAGCGTGCGTGCATGACTGCAAAAATTGCACGAGTATTTGCTTGGTCAGCCGAAAATGTAATCTCTGTACGAATGGAAATAAATGTCGACATTAAAAAATCAAAAACCTCCTGCATTGAGATTTTAAACACTTAAAAACTGTCAATACAGAACTAAAGTGGCTGGGTGTCTCTATAAAAGGGCATTTAATGACTTTGAATACATGCTGAGCAAAGCCCTACTGAAGTTCTGGGTTTGAGTCCTGAGTCGAGGTATCTGTTTATCTAGGGGGTCATAACGGCTGTTTAAAAAAACACACGGAGGCAACAGTGCTGAGGGTCCCGGGTTCAAACTCGGGGTTTGCGTGCGTCCCTTTCTCTTTCTCAGGTTTATAATGACAGTTTCAGCAACAATGAGTCATCTCCGCTGAGATGCTGTGTTTATATCCTGCTTTTTGCCACCTGTGATTAAGTTGTCATGTGTGTTGAATTTGACATCTCAATTCGGTCAAATTTTATTACATTAAATAAATTATACTACATTTGCTTCTTCCCTTCATATGGCTCAGCACAGGTCTATGGATAAAATACATAAAGCCATCGGGTGTCTAGCACGTAGAGAACCAATCTTAATAGAGATTGAAGGGATAATGT